CACAGGCTTGGTTTTTGCTTACTATCATTTTTATTATTATTACATATTCAGGGTAATTATATATCATTCTTCTAGCCCCTGCAAATTGCAAAGCTTTCGATATAGACGGGAGAATAATGGGGTCAGGCTTTCTGCTGAAACTATAATTACCTTAGAGAGACAACATAACATCTGGAAAGAGAAAATTACAAGGACTTAGAAAGCACTTACATATGGTTTTAGAATTGTGAGGAGGTTTCCAAAGTTAATGTGCTGTTTTGGGTTCATCTCTCTTGGATGGAAGTTTCCCAAGTACACATCTTATACATATTTAATTTTACTTGTTTGTGTAGCTTGTTTTATGGAAAGAAACTTTTGATATTGTTTCCTAGATTGTACACTTTCCTCACATTTAGACACATACTTGTTCAATCTTTAATTAAGTAAGTCTTTAGAAACCTGGATTTTGGCTACTTATATAAGAAGGAGCCATTTTTGTAAAAATTGCATTTACACCTACTGATATTTAAGACAAATACAGTTGACTCTTGAATGAAGAGGGATAAAGGATGCTGTCTGCTCCATGAAGTAAAAGATCTCGATTTAACTTTGTGACTTCCCCAAAATGTATCTGCTAACAGCTACTAATGACTAGAAGCCTTATCAATAACATTAATAATGGATTAGAACAATTTTTATGTATTATATATGGTTTTATTATAATAAAGCAAGCTATAAAAATGTTATTAAGAAAATCATAAGGAAAACAAAATACATTTACACTACTATACTGTGTTTTCCATTGTAATTATTGAAAAATAGTCCACATCTAAATATAATTGGACCCCTGCTGTTTAAACCCATATTGGACCCACTCGGTTTAAACCCATATTGTTCACAGATTACCTATAGTTTTTTTAATTTAATTTATTTATTTATTATCATCATAATCTTGTTTATGTTACATTGAATTGCATATAACTTTACAGTGCATTACATTGCTTTTTCAAAAGGGAATGCCATGCATGTCAGTCAATACAGAGACACTAAAATCCCCGCTTCATCATTCAATATCTTTTCATTGTTTTTCCTGATCATCATTATTATTATTCCAATTATTTCTTTAACCAGTCAATCACCATTTCTCATTTTTCTTGTAAAAAGGCTTTACCAATCCAGTTGCGAATACTATACACGTCATCATCAACAGATAATAAGCCACATATGTGTCCCACTAATGTCATGCCTCCAGCAGGCTTGTGGGCCATCCATGTAGAGTTTCTTCTTCTCTCTTGTAGCCTCTCTCTTGAATGAAGATCTTGTGACTGACTATCCAACAAGATAGGCCCGGGAATCTCTTTACTGCCAGCTCCTCGCACAGAACAGCAGACCCCAATTTCTAGGTTTGCTTCACGGGTGACAGGCCCTAGTTTCTATGACTGTCTTAGAAAAGAGGAATTCTCATTTTATTGGCTTGTTACAGGGGAGGAAAAGATATGGAAAGGCAGAAGCAGATCAGAGAGGGCGTGCTTCTGAGGCCCTTCTAATCTTTGGTTGAAGGTGCTCAGCACAATAACATGCCACACTTTGGGGTATAATATTCTGAGCCCCAACATATAAATGTCCTCATTTTTTAAAAAGAATTATTTATTTAATTTTCAGTTTATTCATTCATTTATTTTAATTTGACCAGAAAAAGACAAAGACAGAGAGAGAGAAAGTGAGAAAGCAAGCCACCAAGTCCAGGACTCTTAACAGTGGTCAGCCATGTGGGATTATCCAGCGCCTCAACCACCACATCACCTACTGGTATCCATAAATTTCCTCATTTTAAAAAAATGTATTAAGGCATGCTGTATAAAAGATATGCAGAGTAGGGGCTAATAGAATAAAATGATGCCTTACTATTAAATTTCTTGTGAAATTAACAGGCTGTTGGTCATTTATACTTACACAAGTAAAATAAATGCACATGTGTATTTTACAATGGTGAAATCCTTCTCTCAAATATTAGCTGATTAAGCATTATTTTTATCTATTTTGAAACGTCTGTTACTTTTAAACTGGAAGCCAGTTTGATGTAGCAAAGATGCAGTTTGAAGATTGACATGTCTAACTGCTATGCATAGTGAGGATGTGGCGATGACATCTAAAACAGCCTTGTACTCTTCTCCAAGAATGTGTGTGCACAACTCGCATGTCACCACTTGCCTCTGGGATGACACTTGTTAGATTTCATGGTGTCAGGTGCTATTTCAAGACTAGTATCGTGATTTTGACTACCCAGTGTCCTAACGTTTCACTTATTATTTAAAAGTAAGTTGTTAATGTCTAATTCTTACTGTTTTGTTCACTGCTATGTGAGCCATGAATCACCTGATTCCATTTAGGTTTTGAAATGCTGGAATCTGAAATGTAGTGTAATGAAATGGTCTATTTATTTAACCTTGAAATAATTCCTGTGAAAAATAACTGCTAGCTTGTCTCTTGATGGTTCTCTGGTTTCTGGGAGTGACTTGACTTAGCAACTAGCTAATAAATAACAGAAAACGACTTGGGAAGGACTACGTATAGTAGTAGATTACACCTGTATGCCCAAAGGAGAAGTGGAGAGGCCCAAAACATTGCCTCTGACAAACTGATGCTTTTTAAAAATCTCCCAGCAGGATCCCTCCTTAGGCTATGGGGTTTTATGCAGTCACGTTAAAGATTAGATGTGGTTGAATAATCTACCCGATCCAGTCAAGTGACCAGAAGGGGAAAGGAGGGCTGGCTGGATTTCTGCCTTCACACAAGGAATCTACCTTTAAACGACACATCTGAATCAAGGCCACCATAGGGTTTTGGTGTCAGTATACATTGATGTGAAAACTTACCTAAGGAAAACGCAAGAGCAGTCCAATAAATTCAACAAACCTTAAATAGAAGTCCATGATCTAGAACATGTCAAATGTCTAGAAGGATTAGCTGTCTCCATTAGTTTTCCGACTTATACCCCAGCAGGCATAGTCTATAGAAATACTGTTATCTACAGCATGTTAACTTCACATTCGGGCTCATACTGCGTCTTTTGATGTTCTGTGTTGTTGGAAAACTTGTAACTGACCCATGAGTGTGCTCTCTGTTCCGACTGTTTCTACTGTACGAGTCTCTTGTCCAGTGTTCTTTCAATAAGGGTACCTAGTCTTTTGAGAATTTCTTGTCAGAATGATGCAAATGAAAGTGTTGCCAATGTATTCCTTAGAAGCTATTGGAGTGCCAGCACCCTACCTGCCACAGTTGCTGTAATGAAGAAGACAATGTGATGATTATTTTTCTGGTAAAATGGAATATATCTCATTTAAATGAGCAATGGGAAGTAATGGGTAATTTTAAAGGAATAGCCCTCTACTGAGATCGAATTGTGATAAGGTGACATTTTTTTAAAGATTTTTGACCTAGACCACTTTGTGATCGAAGAATCTCCCTGCCCACCTTCGCCCTTTCCCCGTTAGTAAATATGAATCAATGTACGTTGCTTCTGTGATTTTCTATCTCAATTAACATCATTCCAGCATTCTCCCCACCCCCTCAAAAAATAGCATTAGGAAAATATAAACAGTGAAAATATCACTGTAAAAAAAAAAAAAGAGAATTGCATTGGCCCCAGTAGGTTGGTAAAATACACCGGAGCCTCCTGATAATAGCCCAGGGCGTGACAGGGCCACATGTTGAAGAATGACACTACCTGGAGTTTCCCACAGTCTACTCTCTGTAGGAAGCAAAGGCAAAGAAAGAAACATACAATTGCCCAGCTTCCACGAAGTCCATTAGGACGTGAGCAGTGCATTTGCTTTTGAACTCCCAAGCTTCAATCTCCATCTCCAGGGTGCCTACTTCCCTGTGTTGCCAATGTATTCCTTAGAAGCTATTGGAGTGCCAGCACCCTACCTGCCACAGTTGCTGTAATGAAGAAGACAATGTGATGATTATTTTTCTGGTAAAATGGAATATATCTCATTTAAATGAGCAATGGGAAGTAATGGGTAATTTTAAAGGAATAGCCCTCTACTGAGATCGAATTGTGATAAGGTGACATTTTTTTAAAGATTTTTGACCTAGACCACTTTGTGATCGAAGAATCTCCCTGCCCACCTTCGCCCTTTCCCCGTTAGTAAATATGAATCAATGTACGTTGCTTCTGTGATTTTCTATCTCAATTAACATCATTCCAGCATTCTCCCCACCCCCTCAAAAAATAGCATTAGGAAAATATAAACAGTGAAAATATCACTGTAAAAAAAAAAAAAGAGAATTGCATTGGCCCCAGTAGGTTGGTAAAATACACCGGAGCCTCCTGATAATAGCCCAGGGCGTGACAGGGCCACATGTTGAAGAATGACACTACCTGGAGTTTCCCACAGTCTACTCTCTGTAGGAAGCAAAGGCAAAGAAAGAAACATACAATTGCCCAGCTTCCACGAAGTCCATTAGGACGTGAGCAGTGCATTTGCTTTTGAACTCCCAAGCTTCAATCTCCATCTCCAGGGTGCCTACTTCCCTTGTTCTGTGCAAACCTTTCCCGGTAGGCACCTGCTGGGGACCATAGTAATAAGACACAGTGTAGGAACAGAAAACGCCTTTTCTGAGTCAAGAGGGGAGAACTCCTCTTTGCTAGGAGCCTTGTGCACCTCTGGGAGTCCAGCGTCATCTGCGGCAGAGCAAAGGCAACGTGCAGGTGTCAATTCTTAATTTTGTTCTCCCACCCCACAAAGGACATGTTGCTATGTGAGTGTTCCGCTCTATTTCTCTTAAGAGAAGCAATAGTATATATTTTTTACCTCTGTCCTAAGGTTTTAGAACTTGATTCCCATTGCTTTCTAGCATCATTCTACAATAAATAGAACCCTACTGTTTGGCCATGGGCAAAATTAGCTTGGATGGTACCTGTTATTGAAAGGGAGTCTGTATTGACAGTAATACAGAGAATGCCAGTTCAGAAATGAGCCTGATTGCATGGTTCATTTTGTTCTCCTTTGTAGAGCCAGGCTGCGGCCCACTACAAAGGCACGAAACATGCCAAGAAGCTCAAAGCACTGGAAGCCATGAAAAATAAGCAGAAATCTGTAACTGCCAAGGACAGCGCAAAGACTACCTTCACCTCCATCACTACCAACACCATCAATACCAGCTCTGACAAAACAGGTTAAGCGATAATCTTCGTTGTTGTCGTCCTCGTTGTCATTTGGGGGCTCCCTCCCTTGTCTGACCCCGTGTCTGTTTACTTATGCACCTGCCGCATTAATTCACGCCTGAACCATCTTTCTGCAGAATGGTAATTGTGTCCCCTCCATTTCCCAATACCTGTAAGAGATTAAGATCACTGGTCGTATTCTAGATTTTGCTTTCTGACAGAGTCCTACGACTCTTAGAGGGACATAATGGTCCTAAAAGGCACTTGAAGCCATGTCTCCCATCATGCTTTGTGAGAAGCAAACCTCTTGAATGTGTGTCGATGGCATCTCGTATGCCGCACCTCTGCTCATAACGGCATCAGATGTGATTGAACAGCGAGTACACAGCCAGTATGCCACGTGAATGGGCAGGCCCCCGTAGGGGCATTCTCACCGACAGGCTTCAGTCTCATAAATCCCAAACATTGCATTGTTTTAAGAAATGGCTGTGTGATTCTGGGTTTGTTATGGCTGGGTAACCTTCCCTCTGCATACACAGGTAAGTGTTATTGATACCAATTATTCTTTTTAACGGAGTCTTCACAGTGAAATAATGGTCTCTAAATGGCCCCTTGGGATAGAGCCTGCACAGGGTAGTTTATTCATGGCAGGGGAAGCCAGTGGGGCTTCCCTAAGCTGGCATTTAAAAACATAAGACCAGCCGTTCTCAGAATTTGCATAGAAGAAGCCCTCTGTGATTCATGGATATACCTTTACTAAACCACTTCCCACAATAGAGAGAGCTGGTGCATATTGATTCTTGTCCAGTCCACACAAATGCCATGGTAAGAAAATATTTACTTCCTCACAGATGGTCATGTCTTAACTAGGAGAGAATCTTTTGCCTGTGCTTGGCAAAAATATAAAATGCTACACAGTCCACAAATAGAATGGATTAAAACAACTTTGTCACACGTGGCGACATCTACTTAACACAAATACGCTCCTCCAGGGAGCTGGGGTGATGCCTGCTCCTGTGTGACTCTGGTGGGGGGACAACCGCGTCTTTCCGAGTTCCCACGCATACTGCATGTTCCTCACCGAGGGGTTGTTGGTAGATGTGTCATGCCTCACTCCCTGCAACCCCCATGTGTGTCCTGAGACTCCCTATGCTGTCATCTTTGTACCCTGACATTGGTCTGGCCTGGCGTAAGTGCTGAATAAAGTGACTATGGGATGGTTGAATCTGCCTTCTCCCCTTTGGTTCTCTGGTAGGCCCAAGATTGTGTCACCACATAGTAAAGAGAAAGAATAAATAAAGCAGAAACGACATGCTTATCAGGTTCCCTTCCTTGGTAGCCAAAGCAAGAGCTGGATAATAGCATTTTATTAATTTATATGTGAAGCCTTACAGAGAAAGCATTTCTCTTTTCATCAATAATAGAAGAGTCACTGCCTTATTAAGGGAGCTGTAGAAGAACAAGGTGAGTGCCTGAAGCCGGCGAGTGAAATTTCTCCCCCAGATACAGAGGCACAGATGGGGGTGCCCAAAGCCACACTTGGAATAGAAAAATGCAGATATCTTTCTCTTTTTTTTTTTAGATTTTTTTTTAGTTTGTGTGTGTGTGTTTTGCCTTACTGTAAGTATACTCATCAGAGAGAGAGAGTCAGAGACAGTGAGAGGAAAAGTGAGAAATCACCTTCTAGGAGGGATGGCCATGCTGCAATCCCTTCTCCTCCATTCTCCTCCTGGGATCTTGGGCACGCACGCACATGTGCCCGGTGTCCTTTTAAGGGTATTCAAGGACAAAAGACTCTAGTACTGTTGTACTTCATGTTACAACGGAATCTTTTTTCAGTGAGTAAGTACCACTTTTTACGTTCTTTTCTCAGTAGTTTGTTTTTTCAAAAGTTATATATGTACATTGTCTAATTTACCATTTTAAGTCTCATTTTCTGCTCATTGTATCTTTATATTTTTTGACATTAGAGTGTTTGAGGAGCTCGAGTATTTAAAAAAAATGTATTCCTTGGGGGGAAAAAAACATGCTGGGAACATGTATGTACATGTCACAAATCGCAATGGGATGGAGAAATGGAGAAGGGATTGTGACATGACCATACCCTATTGGAGAGTGCTTTCTCCGTCTCTGTATTTCTCTGTCTCTCTGTCTCTCTCTGGCTAGCACACATACTCATCTGGGAAGTAAAAAAGAAATAACTATTTGGGTTATCTTGACTCCTTTTTAAAAGGAAACAATCCTTGTTACTTAAGGATACATGTCATTAAAAACTCTTTATGTGCATGGCGAGCAGAACTGGTCATTTGCGTTAGGAAAGGCCCTCAAGTGTGTCGCCTCTGTTCTGTAATTGAGTTGTGAACACAAGCCTCCTTTAGTCCCTCAGCTCAGAGGCTGGGATGGGAAGGGTGGCGGCTGTCAAGGTCCTGTCTTCTCAGAACAAGTTTTGGATTAGGCTGTGGAAGAGAACTTCCATGGAAGAAGCTTGGCAGGATTTATTTTATGGTGAAAATCATGTTAAATGGTGGAACATCCCAGAGCTAGAGAAAGAAGAGCCAAAGAAATAGTGTGTAAGGTGAGTGGACATATCTTAATGCCAAAGGAGGAGGAGATGGGCATCAGGAAAGACCTTGTTTTCCTAATTCATGTCCCTCTACACCCAGAAAAAGCAAGTCATAGAAGGTGAGCTCACCCTCAGCAGATATTTAAAGCTGGAGTCAATCTTTAAGCAGGCATTTTCACAAAACCTTCCGAGAAGTAGCCTGTCAGGCTGTTTTGTGTTGCTATCATAGACTACCAGAGACTGGGTAATGTATATAGAAAAGAAACTTTATTACATTCCTGGAGGCTGAAAATTCCAAGGTAAAGAGGCTCATGTCTGGTGAAGGCATTTCCATTGGCAGAAAGGGAGGTGAGCGAGGTAAGAGAGGGCTGAACTTGTTTTTATAAAAAAAAAAAAAATCTACTCTATTGGTAAGAAACCAACTCCTGAGACATTAATCCATTCATGAGGACTCCTTGCTCATGACCTAATAACCTCCCCCCAACCCTAACTCTCAACACTATTGTATTGGGGATTAAGTTTCCAACACATGAATCTTGGGGGACACATTCAAACCATGGCATAGCTCAGAAATGTTCCCTCCATCTCATAGAACCTTATTCTATTTCTATTGCAGCATAAATCAGAGGCACCTGGGCTAACAGATTTGAGTTTTCTTAAAGCAGTGACTCGTCCTTTTCCTAGCTGCCTACTTTCCCATATTGATTAAGATTACAATCCTGAAAACAAAATGAGTCTTTGGGCTAGTTTTCTAGAATAGTAAAATTCTTATCAGAAGAAGAGGGAAGCAAGACTTTAGAACCAAACATCATGCATTTTTTAATTATTAATTAATTTATTTTTTTAAATTTGCTGTTGGGCATATGCACTCACCAGAGAAAGACAGAGAGAGAAAGATATAGAGGGAAAGTGAGAAAGCAAGCTGTCAGGTCCAAGACTTGAACCACAGTTGGTCATGTGGAAGTCCAGTGCTTTAACCACCATGCCACCTGCTGGCTCTGATCATGTATTTTTTAATAATAAAATATTGGGTCAGCCCATGCCTGGTAGTTAATGAAGCTGGATCCCACATGGCTAACCTTGAAGTTCAAGTCTCAGAATTAGTGGCTTAAGAAACATGGTGAGCATATGTGCAAAATCCTGAAAGGAGGGGAAAATGGAGAAGGGATTATGGCATAACTATGCCTCATGGCGAATGTTCTCGCTCTTGAGTGTATGTGTGCTCTGGCAGATTAAAAAATATAATAATAAAAAACATGGGGCTGGTAGGTGATGTGGTGGATAAGGGCGCTGGACTCCCACATGGCCAACCATGATTCGAGTCCCAGACCTGGTGGCTTGCTTTCTCACTTTCCCTTTCTCTCTCTCTCCCCATCTCTGTCTGGTCAAATTAAAAAATAATAATAACAAATTGAATCAAATAAATAAATAATTCTTTAAAAAAGATGGAAAAAAAAGCAATAAAAAACCGAATCCTCTGCTAATGCATAAGGATGCTTTCTAATTTGTGAACTTATCCACACATTAAAAAAGTCTCACTAGTACATTTTACTAAGATTGCCATCTTTTTATTAAGAATAATACAGTTATATAGAAAAATAATTAAATTACATGTTTGAAAAATAAACTAATTGCTAAGTGAGTGCTAAGCTTGCATTGGTTTGGTAGATGAGAGCGCTCAAAATTGTATATGAAAGTGGCTGTTATTCATCACAGAATGTTTTAAAAAGCAAGCATTTTTTTAAAAAAATTATGAATTTTATTTATTTATTCATTCATTATTTTTAGCCAGAGAACATGTGCACTTGCCAGAAGAAGACAGAGTGAGGGAGATGAAAGCATCCCCCATGGGGCATAATCATACTGCAGTTTCTTCTCCCCCAATTATCCCTCCTTTTTGGGACCTGGGATGCATACATGCCTGGCACATGCTCTGTCTGGGGTTCAAACCTTACCGTTGACCATGCGAGATCTGGCCACCCTAACTGCCAGGCCACAGAGCTGGCTCCGAGAGCAAGCATTTTCAAAGATAGCTAGAATAATTTTGTTCTGATATACAAGATTTTTTAAAAATATATTAAGCTGCTAATGCAGAACAAGAGCAGAAATTTTAAAAATTACACTTAAAGTAACTTGGCCAACATATCTAAGTTTTGTTTTGTTTTGTTTGTTTTTTTTTTTCTTAACTATGAAATGGCAAAATTAGACTGTCCCATTAAGTTCAGGGCAAGGTCAACAATGAGCTTTCTTTACTTTTGTTTTCTGAGGACTCCCATGCGTCCCCATGGTTTGTCAGTGGGGTTAGCCTAGCTGATAGTCATAGACAAACTCCAAATCCTAGTACCTTCTGCAACAACTAATTATTTCTCACTCGCACTCAGTATCGGCCATGCTTTTTCTGCCCACATTATTTGACTGATGAATTTCATCAATTCTGTAGCAGAGGGA